CCATTAAAATCTAATTTCGTATAATTTAATTATATCATAATTTATAATATTTTAATAATAATAATAACAAATTTAAAAAATCCAAATTATTAAAAAATAATAAATATGATCTATTTTAATAATTATATATCTTACAATATTTTTAAAATTTTAATTAATAATTAATAAAATCTATCATAATACTTTTAAAAAATAAATAACCAAATACCAAAATAACTTTTAGTCACAACTACTACAACCATAACCATAGTTACAACCATAGCACTTCACAATAATTTCAAATGCATAAGTTGTGAGCATATGGCTTTGAGATAGCGCGGATCCAGGGGTCCTCAAGGGGCAAATGCCCCAAATTTTTGAGATGTTAGTATATTAGTACATTATTTTTTTGTTAAATTTATTTTGACACTTAACTTTTTATTTAATTTTTAATCCTTAACTTTATTTTATTCCATTTATGTTTCTTAAATCTTTTATTTCATATTATTCATTTATTTTCTTATTTCTTATTCATTACATACTACTTTTATGATATTAAGAAAGATAAGAAATATAAAAAATATATTTTTAACGTCTATATAGATTAAGAGTGTAATTATTACACTTTTTTTATATTAATTAGTATTGAAAAAAAAATTTGGGCTTTAGTTTAAGTAGCTATCTAATTAAAATAGTTTACATGACACTAATAATGAAATTAATGGTACTTTTTTGTATTTTTAAATATTAATTAATGTAAAAATAATATAATAATTACATCATTAACCAGTACCATATACTTTAAGGGTATAAGTTAGAAAAACTTTATAAAAAAAAATAAAGATTAATTGAAAAATAATCTTTAAATTGTCATTTTGATTGTTTTTATTTCAACAATTGTTACTTTGATTGTATTTTGAATTACTATTTTGGTATGTGTTTTTAGTCATTTTTAGGCCAAAATTAGAAATATGAAAATATTATTAAAGAAATGCTTATGATTAAGAAGGCATAATAATAATTTTAATTTAGTAGGAATAAACATTAGTACATTATTAATTTAGGGAGTGTTTGGATTGGTTTTTTGGATATAAATAATAACTGATAGTTGATATCTAATGATTGATAATTATTATTATTTACAATTCAAAATATTTAATTTATTTAATTAAAATTAATAATTAATAACCATTTTTAAAAGACCAAAATAAATATCCCTTAAACTAAAAATTCACAATTTCATATGATGATTGATAACCTTAAATTTTGCCCCTCCTATATAAATTTCTTGTTACGCAATTGCTTTGAGGTAGAGAGATTTTGGTTAATTGAGTATTGGAGGGCTCCGCAAACTGTATGTATTGTTCACTGTTATTGAATGTTCTTGTTTTCATCAAAAAAAGTACTCTTCGACTTCAAAATTTTGGGATGAAGCGATCGTTTAAAAACAGACAAATATCTTA